GTGCTACTGAACTGGCTATATATAAGCCAGTCCTTTATTAGTATATAAGTGCTCTGTTAGCAGTTATTTGTTAGTAATTCTATCGCTCGAAGTGGAGTTAAAAGAGATGAGTTTTCAGTCTGCGCCGGAAGATGTGCAGGCTTTCTGCTGTCCTGATGTCAATAGGGAGCTCATTCCACCATTTTGGAGCCAGGATAGCAAACCCACGTGTTTTTGCTGATGGGAACTTGGGTCCCCCTCGCAGCAAGGGTGCAGCGAGTCGTTTGGCTGATGCAGAGCGTAGTGCACGCGCTGGGGTGTACAGTTTAACCATGTCCTGGATGTAGGTCTTAAGCCCCACGGACCCGGTTCCGGGGCTGAAATCACGTCATTTGCAGGAAACAACGTCTAAGGAACCTTAATATTTAATAAACTATGAATATTTTATATAAAAACTAATTTAACTGATATTTTTCATTTTTAAAAACACACAATGCTAACAGTGAGCCTCTGAATTAGCCCCGAGCGAAATATGCTAACCTGTTACTGCACCGAAAATCACTCCTAGCTCCCTTATTACTTATCCTAGCTTCACAACCAACACATCGTTTATGAACGTAAAGACACATAATCTAACGGTGCCCACCTCAACACTGAAATATACAAACTCGCGACGTTATCAACAAAAACGTACATCAAAACATGTGGCGCTAGGTAGCCTACAACGCTAACATGGCTTACCCTGGTTTTGTATGGTCAAAACGGGTCTTCAATGGCATTAAAACGATAACAACGATGCTGTAGTTAATCCATAGGTTAATATCCAATGTGGCTGTGTCCCCTTTGAAATGTTCTGATAATCTATAAGCAATAAAACTGCAATTCCGTTTTCAAACATCAGAGCAGGCCATTCCTACGCTCTGTAGCAAGATTGAATGCGGGAAGACGCAATCTTTTTTTAACATGAGTGTGTGCGGGACGATTTCCCTTCGATTCTATTGGCTCTAACGGTCAGAAAGTCAAAATCGAAGTAGGGGGGGCCAGAGATAAGGAAAATCCACCCAAATGGCCCCAGCAGAGGTTGTTTTTGCTAAATCTGTCTGAAAAGGTCAAATATCACTTGTTTTGCATCAATCTTGATACAGGGTACTTATTATAGACCCTCCAGAAAAACGCGGTCACAAATCTTTAATTATGCGGGCTAAAATCCTTGATTATGCGATTAAACATGCAGGGTTTTTATGTAATTTTATGCGGTGAAATTGCGGGAAGTTGCGAAAAAGAATAGATTTTTTTTTGTAATATTGGGCTGTCTTATTTATTCTCTCTCACACACAACCTGCCACTAACGTTAAACCCCTTTCCTACTCAATTAAACACATTCAATGTTTATCTATTGTAAAAGCAATTGGACTATTTTAATCACTCTCTCTTTCTCTCACACACACACACACACACACACACACACACACACACACACACACACACACACACACACACACACACACACACACACACACACACACACACACACACACACACACACACACACACACACACACACACACACACACACACACACACCACTTCTCCGCCTCATTCTGTTTTCATTTACTCGTTCGTTATCTGACCAGCTTCAATCTTGGCTACTCACTTCGTTTCTTGTAGCCCTCGAAAGGATTTTGGAGGTTGATGCCTCGGTGAACGTGAGTTGTTTGGCTTTCTTGTCCGCAGCAGCAGAAAGCATTTTCGAATGTTTGAATGAATCAAAATGGGTGCAGAATAGTTTCCCCCCACTGTCATGTAAGACATCGGGGTACTGCTTTGTCTTTAGCAGAAATGTTCGTCGGTAAATGAGATGGATTAGATTTTTTCATCTTGGTGTTTTCTCTCTCGTGTGAGTTCCACACGTTCACTCTACGGTGTTGGTTACCTTCTGTGATGCGCGAGCTGATGACGTCGCGTCATCATCATCACTACTTCACGTCAAGACGAGTTAACTTTTTTTTTGCTCAACTTTGTCTGGAAAAATGCGGGGATTATGCGGCCTTTTGATAAATATGCGGCCTTTTAAAAATCTGCACCATTTTGCTGATTATGCGGTAAATTCTGCGATCGCAGAATCGCGTTTTTCTAGAAGGTCTATTATTATATGTTGTACTTTGGATCCCTAAATCTTCTTCGTCTACTAACCCATCATCCAAGGTTAGTTTTCACTATAAATCCAAATTATTTTTTGGACGGACACTATAATTTACAGTTTTTTACCATGTTCAATCTGAATTTTCTTTAAAATAAAAAACATCTATATTGATTCTGACTTTTCTACATCCAACTCACAGGTTTATCATTACTTTGAGAAAAAAGATCATTAATTTAACCCTTTTAGAAGGGAAGATATGGTCATTTGTTCTGGAAATGTCATTTTCGAACCTGAAAAACAGGCTTGGTGCTTAAAAGGATAATTACGGAAAATACATTTATATTATTATTGTATATCAATTCAATTGATTTCTTTCTAGAGGGGAATTCACAAGCTACCCATAAGTTCTTAAGGTATCATATAAATTGTGAAAAATTCAAATCAACCGCTACCTTTTCTGACTTAAAAATAAACTCACGTAAAGTCACATAAGTGATATACGTATAATACCATGTAACTGGCCATTTTTGCAATATAATATTTTGATTACTTTTGTACTTTCCTTGAGTGAAATATCTCTTCATTCCTCACTTGTTTACAGCTGTGTTGAACTACTTCTGATGACCTTAGACTTGAGGACTCGACATTCCCTCACGTAGCGCTTCAAGCCTTGACAGGGAAGTGGAAAGAACATTCATAACAACACACAGCTTCCTGCCAAAACATCCACATTTATGTAAATAAAAAAAACAAAAGAACAACTTGCAGGCAATGACGAAGGAGTGCAGAAGTTTGCATATTATAACTGGTGTTTCTTACTTGTTGCATCTTGTCATTAAACAAGGCACAGTATATGCTTCCTTTAATTTGTTGTTGACTTCAAATGTTTTTTTCTTTTGGTCAGATTTTTTCAGCGCACTATATCAACACTACCGGACACCTGGACTAAAATGGCTGTCGTACCACACGTACGAATACTTTTCTTGGAAACAGACAAGAATGGATTTCAAGGAACAATATAGAAAGTAAGTGAACTAAAAAAAAGAAAAGAGTGCTGAGAAAGAGTGTCGGCTAATGACTTTGAGGCTCTTATATAATATTGATTATATGAAAATCAAACATTAGTTGAGCATTTTCTTCCCCTTCTGTGCAAAAACTTGCACACTTCTTGCAAGTCTTCCAATGAAACTTATACAGGAGAACTGACTGGCTTCATTCAAACGTTGATATTGTTTTAACTTAACCATGAACAGTGACATCATTCTCTCCTTCAGCAGCAACACAGATTAATGTTGGGCCATAACACTTAATGCCTTGCAATTTTCTCTATTGCTTTTACTGTTTGATTCCAACTTCACCATTAAACACGTTTAATGGGTAACATGCAGATTAAAATGTTTGAATATTAAGTTAATTGAACGTTGTATCTCGCCTTATCTCAAACAAGGTGAATAAATTACATGTTACTATAAACTTTTGCCTTTGGTGCATGTGGCACTCATGCGTTAATGCTTGGGATAAATCTGGAAACCTTAAAGGTCCACTATCATGCTATTTTTAGGCAATAGCATAGGTCTCAGATATATAAAAATATATCAAAAACATGTCTGTAAAGTGTTTTGCTCAAAATACCAAACAGATCACCCATTCTAGCCATGCCTCACATCCCTCCATTTCACTTCCTATTTCAAAAGTGCTGATTTGGGGTATAAAGCTTTACAAAAATAAAAAAATGATCAAAAATAAAAAAGGAGGGGGCTGAGCTCATGCGGGAGATTCTACCGGCAGATAGCCTACTGTCTAAACGAAATACTGCCGTGATGAAACGCCATATCATGGATTATCAAGGATTATTTCTGAAACAGTATGGAGCTCAAAGGCTTTCTCTCTTGCCGGTTATACCACACACACATGCTCTGTGCAGTACAGGTTAGCTCTGAGTGTTGCTAATGTAAATATGCACCGACCATATTACGTCCAAAACAGTCGGGCATTGTTTCTGATAGCAACATTTCTGATAGGGCCGTGGGTGTAAAGCCAGCCTACATTTCCGATATCACGTCATATCGGACGCAAATCTGAATCAGCTCCGTTGTAGCCCCGTTTTTAGAGATTTGGGTACGGAGGAACTGAGAGAGGGTTTTATTTTCTGACGCTGCGTGAGTTCCCCGACACACCGGGGACACATATGCATGTATAACAGACATCAAAAAGTGCATTTTGTATGATAGGTCCCCTTTAACACGGTAACAAAAGATTCATGCAAATTAATCACCTTACCAAGTTTCAGCCAAACCTCCTCTTATACACCTAGTGCTGATGATTGCTATGAATCACATGGCATTGCAAAGGCGTAACCACATAACTGTTCCATGATGGAATGTCATGGAGACTGCACTTGTTTTATGTGTAATAGCAGACACTGTCCCCACTGTGGGAACAGATAATGTTCTTAGTGCTTGCAATATGATAACAAGTCTTTATGCCAACAGCTGTTTCCTTTGGCTTGGTATCGAACACATGTTTGATTTCTGAATTTGTTTGCAGGAATGAAAAAAAAACTCTAACCAGTGCATATTGCACAACACTAGTTAAATTGTATGTCTCAAAGTGTAAGGTTATGTGTTTGTACAATATGTTCAACTTAGACAATTATCTCTGGTCCCGCTATACGTGCTGTGAGTCTGCAGTGGATACAACATTAGTTCTCACATATTATTCACCTGGATAAACTGGATTATGACTGCAGAACTCCATGAAAGGACATCTTCAAGGCTGCATGTGAAATGGGGGCCGGACATAAACAAAGAAACTAGTACCTGATTGGTTGAACTCTACCTGCATGTGTCACAAAGGGTTCAGCCCAGTTTATAAATTCCTTAGATACATTCCGGAGAGAACAGAGACAGACCAGAATCACAATCCTTCTTTCTGTCATTGATCTGATTAAACGAAAGGTAGCTTCCAGCCTGTAAGTAAATTTTGCTTTGAAAACATCACCTTGACATTTGTATTTTAATAGATTTGTGTTCAATTCAGTGATAAGTTTTACTTATTCATTAAAGATGATTTCCTCTTACAGATGATCTTGTATTATCTGCAGCTATCTGGCAACAACAACATACTACAGAAAAGGGAACACATTCAATCTACTGAAGATGAGTTGTGCAAGGTAAGCTACTGTGCTCTAATTTCACTATATCTCTATGCAGGACCTTTACTTTTTTTGTTTTGCGAAACTGTCGTATAACTTCTCATGATAAGTCTCGTTATAACCCCATCGTGTCTTGCTCCTCAGAGTTCTGCATGCCTTTGGGAGTCACACCCAGCCCTCTTTGATGCCAGTATACCTTGCCCCATGTCTGAGCCTCGGCCAGCACCAACCTCTTTACCAGCTGCTGTCCAAGACTCCTCGGAAGCTCTCACAGCGCCGTTATCAGCCGGCCGACTGTCTGCCACGGAGCGGCCTTCACTCACGGCGTTCCTCTTCCCTCTTCCCTGCATCCTCCTCACAGCCCTCCTCTCCTGTGTCCTCAGAGCCTCGGAGCTGCCTCAGCAGGGACGGCGGCGGTCTAAAGAAGAAGAGCGTGGTCTTTGCAGACACCGTCGGATTGGCACTTACAGATGTACGCCTGTTCGTCTCAGAGCCATCTCCCCTTTCTTCTGGACCTGGCACAACGCCACACCTTGACGACAACCAGGGGCAGAACGATAAGGTGTGCTTGGAAACAGATGGATCCAATGGTCACCAGGAGGAAGCTTACCGTGGTTACACCAGACTTTCACAATATCGGCCTTTGCACACGACTCTCGGTATTCAGAACTCTTCAGATCCACAGTCTATTCAGAGGGGTTTTATCAAGAGTCAGAGAGTGGAGAGCAAAAGGTTTGGCTAAGCAGTTAAATGAGACCACCCCCTCAACAGAACTATGATAACATGTAAATAATTAACTATTTAAATATTTATTTAGAGTTACATTTTTTAAGGGTGCATGGACTTTCTAAAATCTCCAGTGTTGGTTGGTCTGAAGCCCACCATTAAATAAAGTATGTTTGACCTTTGGTTTTACACAGGAAACAAACAGCAGTACCCTGTGTGACAGTCCCATGTTTGACCTTCTCCATATTGTTCCTGGGAATTTGTGTGTTCACCAGGAAACAACATCCTAAATGTTTTCCATTTGATTTTCCATTTCCGAGGTGGTGGCATGAAATATGTTGAAATTACCACCAATGAGTTTGGTCAAGGGGTTGCATTCATTTTCTGTGAGATCAGATTGTCTCAAGCCTATGTGTGAATAATAAATGCAATATTGTTCTGAATACATCTATTTATTTTCTTTCTCTTTGCTTTCTTGTGCCTAGGTTAAATCCTAATCATTTAACACATTGCCTTTTAGAAATGCAGCTTGAAGTTTACACATCTGTGTGCATTGTAGCATGTCCACATAACCCTGATTAAGATAGCAATGTTTTTTTTTTATTTCCACAATGACATTTTTCCTTTCGCTTAGGCTTAGATTCATGGTGCGTCTTTTCAGGCTTGTATGTCCAAAACTGACTTGATATAAAGTACAGTACATTACAATTATTTGAAGGGACCCTATTATGTGTTTCCCTTTCCTGTAGTTTTAGATATATACTCTCCCAAACACTCTGCCTGAAACGCCTCAATTGGACTTTCTTTTGTAACATATTGACATCACTACGTAACACTTGCACTGGCCAGCGCTCCAACACATTGTTAGTGATAGGCTAAGGCAGGGATGTTCAAACTTTTTTCACCGAGGGCCACATACAGAAAAATATACAAAGGGCTGGGCCGCTCACTAAAGGTATTTTGCAACTTACATTTGTTAGAAAATGTTTTCAACTTAAAAAACTGTGCTAACTAACACATGATATATTTGTACGTATATATTTAAAAAGTAAAATATAAGACAAGAACAAGTTTCATTTGTGGGCCATACTCCGATATACTTTTTGAATTTGCTGAGGGCCGTTTCAAAATGTCTCGCGGGCCACATTTGGCCCCTGGGCTGTAGTTTGGACACCCCTGGGCTAAGGGGTGGGACAACTCTAAGCAGTTGACCAATCACAACAGAGCCAGCCAGTTAACCAAGCAAACTGGGCTCTGGTTTCAGACAGAGCGTGAAAAGAGGTGCTGCAGCACAGGCATTATGAGAAAGATAAAGTCCTTGTTGAACATTAAAGCATGGAGACATCAATTTAAGAAGTCTGAACCATGCATCAGAGGTTGGATATGCACACACCTCACCATGATTTATTCTATAAACTGAATTAAGGAGGACCTTGAGCACTCAGCCCTTTTTTTAATGATAAACAAATACACACCTCCTGCAGATCCCTCTCACCTTTACAGACAGACATACCAATATGTTATTATGTCTGACGTTATCAGGGGCTGATGACTTAGTGCTTTGTGCTGTGACACACCTCCCTGTGAAAGTCACACCAATGAATTTGTACCAATTGGTATGTACAGTATACATGTTAATCTTCCTGTGACCCAGATATAGGGATGTAACACATAACAAAAGAAACATTTACAAATCATTTTTTTATATTGTTTCCATTGTAAATAACATTATTATGATGTGTTTTATTTGTATTTGTATTAATATTGTATTTCTTTTTTTCCCCCCATATAGTAATGCATTATGAAAGACGAATACTAAAGACAAAAATCAAATGTACCATATTTGAAAACCCATGTTTCTGAAAATATAAAGCACTTAAATACACTGTTGGAAACCACTTTGTTCGATGTTCTTCTTAAACACCTTTGAAGTGTTTATTTTGAAATCTAAATGCCTCGAACCCTTTTTAAGACTCAAGTATGTTCCGGGGAAATACATATATGGCTATAATCAAAATAATAATAATAATGTCTTCAAAGCCAAAACTTTATTTCTTTTGGGGGGTAGAAATAACAATTTTCAAAGCCAACACTTTATTTCTTTTGGGGGGTAGAAATAACAATCTTCAAAGCCACAACTATATTTCTTCTGGCAGAATGGTTAGGATTCTGCTTTTAAGAGGCATGATGAGGGAGGCTGATGTAAGCTTGCAGGGGCAGAGCAGAACATTGAAACCCCACCCTCGGCTGGGTGGAGAGGGCACCCTGCAGGATCTCCATCTTTGTGCTGACTCTCCCTGCTGCTGGAGGGATGAGGGAGGAGCACCCTCCTGTGGGGAAAGAGGGGAGGAAAGAGGCTCACTGTTGTGTTTATGTAACAGGAAAATAAATATGTCTCCAACTTCTCCTCGAGATGATGTCGGAACAAAAGTCATGTATAATCTACAATATAGCTCTAAAAATACAATAAGGTTTCATTGACTTATTCATCACATTCTGAGATGCCCTTTTTGCCAACATATTGTGACATATTTAAATGTTAAATCCTCCAGAATCTAGTGTAATCAAGTTTTAATGTTTTAAAGGAAATGTATGTTAGGGTTTACATCTTTGATCATGAAAAATAACTGGGTTTTGTGATATAGCTGATTCCCCTTTTCCACCGACATATGTGTATATGCAAAGTTTGTCGAATGCATCATCCCTAATTTCTAAGGGATTACAAAATGTGCCTACAGTCACTATTGTTGGAAAGTTACCCAAAATATTAGTTCTATTGGCGTATTTAGTCAATGTGATCGTGTTATACCTTCCGATTTTATGGCAGATCTGCTGTAAACTATCTAACCTAGCTAACCTAGTCCTTTTAAATATACTGACTAGCTTTTAGTTCAATCAATCAATGTTTATTTATATAGCCCAATATCACAAATGTTACATTTGTCTCAGTGGACTTCACAGTTTGTACAGAATATCAGTATGACAATACGACACCCTCTGTCCTTAGACCCTCACATCGTACAAGGAAAAACTTCCGGAGAAAACCCACAGTTTAAAGGGAAAAATGGGAGAAACCTCAGGGAGAGCAACAGAGGAGGGCTCCCGCTCCCAGGACGGACAGACGTGCAATAGATGCCGTGTGTAAATTGAAAAGATAATACATTTGCAACATAGGTAGTCCAAATGTTTGGAAATGCATGTGTGTATAATAGGAAGATGAATCCACGAGGATATCCATCCAGGACCTTTGATCCAGGACCACAGCCACGACTCAAGATCCAGGGCTCGCGATGCAGGACACAGGACCGCAAGATCATCCATGACTCCGGATCCCGGCGTATATAGACACCAAAAATAAAGTTAAAGTTTAGTTAAAGCGCATGTTCCATCAAGTTTGTGAAGATGTTTCTTAATTTGCAGCGTTTGAGCGCGTTTGCACCTGTTGGCCACCGTACATTACTGATACAATTTCTCTTGTAAATACTCAGACAAGCGTTCGTGATTGTTAAAACAATGACAAGACTTAAGTTTCATTTTGTTTCTGTTTGAATAAAATGTTGTTTAACAATAATTGGTTAGGTTAAAAATTACATTTGATGATTGTTGGTGGCTTTAAAAAGTGCATAATGATTATATGTTTTGTATGTTAATTAATGTAATAATAGGTGATTCTTTCACATAACTTTACACTTTAAAAAGGGTTCATAATTAGCTTGCTGTTTGTAGCAAGAGCTGTTAAATGATGTTACTATACAGCAGTCTTTTTCCTGAGGAATTAACATGCCGATTATATCCCTTCCAACTGAAGACAACATCTACATGTAAGTGGGTCTGCAAATAAACAGAATATCGTCCATTTCTATTGTCTATTTTATGTGAGTTTTGAGTCAATGTTTCAGTAAAAAGGGTAAAGCCTTGTCTGCTTTCCATGCAAACTGTTTCCAATAACACATCATTTGAATACAAAGTACAACTGCACTTTTATACTGACTGTAGTTAATAAGACAAAAACAAGTCTTTATATATTTCAATCTGCTCCATTAAACCCAAGGCTTTCCCAGCTTTTACTGACATGAGGGCAAATTATATGCTCTCTTTCAAACTATAATGAATAGCTTAGATGAATGTCCTGATATATGAATATCTTGAATACATTCAGCAGTGCACAGTGAATTTTGTCCTGATGACATTCTCACTCTTATAATCATACCACAAGGTCTGTGTGTCCTTTTCAAAAGACATGACTGTATAGTACATCTATGTGTGCCCATGCACTGCCTCTTTTTACAGGGTTGTTCACATATTAATGGCATACAGATGACTTGGATTTTTACTGAGCTATGAGCGATTACGTGCTATGTCCCTTTTAATCAACACATATGTAGCCCTACTGTATTTAGGGTATTGAGTGATTGGATTGTTTTTTGGCTAAGGAACATAGGTGTTATGGGCAGAGCTGAATCTCAGAAATATCTATATATATTCATGTGTTTTTACTTCTCAAAACCCTAAGCCTACTTTTCGCACAAACTCAATTTGACTGCCAACAAATGACATCACTTGGAGCAATTTGTATGATACGAAGAGACTTTGATGTGAACATTTGGTTTGTTCTGTATATGATTGTGGAAGATCTTTTTTCTGTTACTTCACACTTAGGCATCTTCTTTTAAGGTTATGTAAAAGGATTTTGTTTTACAAATCTATCTGTTGATGTATATTCAAAATGCTGATAATGAAGAAAGTGATACAATTATTGTTTTTTTAATCACTTATACAGTATCTGTGGATTGTTTTGTTAAAGGGGCCATATCATGCAAATCCCCAGGTTCATGTGTATGTTGTGCCTTTATAAGGTAAGATAAGATGGTACTTTATTGATCCCAATTTGGGAAATTGTTTTTGTTGCAGCAGCATAAAAGACAAGGCATTTTACAATAAAACAAAACTAGAAACAAACAAGAATAGAAAGAAAAGAAAAGAGAAAATATATATGTTGAAATAGAAAATATACATGTAGATATTATATATACAAATATATTCAAAAATATATGACATAAGGAGTATGGAATATAAAATATTGAACAATTATTGTGAAATGTTTAGATGCTTTAAGGTTCAAAAAGTGTTTTAATTGTCTCATACTTTCTGTGCTGCAGCACCCATGTTTACCCTCTGTCTGAAACCAGAGCCCCTAATTTTAAAGTTAGGAGTGCTTTAAAAGTTAACACAAGTTTATCTTATCTCATCTTATCTTTAGAATGTAAGGAGGCGAATTTTTCTTTCTTTCTTCCTGTAAAGATAAAAAAAAGTCCCTGTGTTAAGTCACGACATTGTAGTTTTTCACAAGCATTGAAATCTACCACGAGGACAAGTCCCATTTCATCTTCGCAAATAACCACATTATTGAAGAGTGGACCAAAACACAAAAGACTGCAGGCAACA